ATATAATTTTAATTGTAAAAGCCAAATTATATCGCTATCTAAAAAGATATATTTATAAAATTTTTTAAAATATATAATCGACATTCTGTTTGCCGATGGCTATAAGACAAATAATTCGTTCTATGCATCAATCATCATAGACGCCAAATTGCATTCCCGCAATCAATAACTATTCTACGAAATTCTCTAGCAAATACCATTGGTGCTTACAATCGATCATTATGTTTCTTTGTGAAGATTGCCCATTATAATCTGGCCTTTATTATTAGTGTGAGGCGAGCAAAAGAGGAATTGCGGCACACCTCTTTGAAAACAAATATACTTAATTTTGTTGATTGAAATCTGATTATCGATATGAATTAAATATCTTCGATAATAAGAACCATATAATAGTATCATTCGGATATTATTCCTATTAATATTCATGTTCAATAATGATCAAATTCTCGGTAATTCCATGCGATTCTTAATGCAATCAATGATTCCTGTAGTTGATTTGTAGGTATTAACCGGCTAACCGTGCGTATTTATATTATAATTGAAAAAAATGTTTAATTATTATGATCAATTTAATCCGGAAAATGTTCAGATAATAATTTATGATCCAATGCCTTGTTCTATTGAACATCAATCATGATTTCAACAGCTTGGCAAGGCTTGAGGTGGCGGCTGTTTGAACTGAAGGGCGCTTAGCAGGGTCGATCACCAACAACGAAGCAATAAAATTCGCCAACGACCTTGATTCATTTATGTTCAGGTTCGCCCATGTTTCCAGCTCCCACCGCCGAGCGTAAACAGTCTGGGCCCACATGTGCTCTTTCTGCACCAATTTCTTCAATGGCTTCTGCTACTTCACCTGCCGCCAATCATCCATATTGTAGTCAAAAACGAACAAATGAGAGAAATGCTTGCACGTTGGGACGACAACACGCGAAGCCCAACCCTTTGCTGTTGTGATGTGAGCGTTGAACCGTTGATAGTTAATGGATCGAAATTCGTTCGTCCCGGTCATGTTGTGACGGTGTCCCTTTTATGTTGTGACGGTGTCCCGGTCGTGTTGTGGCGGTGTCCCGGTCGTGTTGTGACGGTGTCCCGGTCGTGTTGTGACACTGTCCCGGTCATGTTATGACGGTGTCCAGGTCCTGTGATGCTGGTGTCCCGGTCGTATTGTGAAGGTCATATTTTGATGATGTATTGGACATGTTGTGATGGTATCTCGGCATGTTTTGATTATGCCCCAATTATGTTGTGATGGAATTTCGGTCATGTTGTGACGGTGTCCTGGTAGTGACCCGGTCATGTGACGCTTGGTGTCTCGATTATATGAAATGAAAATATCTTTTATAATTTTATTAATATTATATTGCGATTCTATTTTTTCGAGATATTAAATTAGAATTTAAGTGGATTTTATATTGAAAATTCTATATTCTATGAATCGATTTATTATATTTATAAATATATATATATTTGATTTTATTAATATTATTTTATAAATATAGATTCTATTATTTTAAAATACAAAAAATAATATGTTTGATTATAAATATAAAATATATGTATATATATTCATATAATATGGAAATAGTAATTAATCGATATAAAGAATTTGATAAAGAAAAAATATATTATGAGAGCACGACGCCCTGGAGGTGTGTGTTTTTTTCAGTGTTTTGTGTTTTTTCTATGATTTTGAATAGATTTTCTATGTTTTCGTTGCAATCACCCATCTGGTACACATCACTTGTGCCCATAGCCTGCTGCCCTTTGCCATGATCTTATCAACAGATTTCCTCATCAAGCTTTTAAACACATAGCTAAAGTCTGTATCTGTCAATTGCATCATAGCTGTGATCTTTGGAGGAATGATAGATTGTAGCTGATGGGCTGCATACATCTTCTTGTATATATATATATATCATCGCTAAACGAAGCAGCAAAGCAATCCCTCTGATAGATGGATATTGGATACATCCTCCCTTGTTTTGCAATGACCCATGACATAATGATATTGTCTTGATTGGAGGATGGTTGGGAATAAACATCATAGTGCTCCAACAAATGAGGATGACCCCTTCTGATCTTGACCCATTGCTCCAATGCCCTCCTGGCATTCTCTCCCTTCCTATGCAGCTTGATGTCTCCCAAATAGTTAAATGATTCATCCTCAATCCACCTGCCTTTGTCATCAATGTTGTCCAATCTTGCATGTTGCCCAGATACTATGAGCGCCCCCTTGCCCACATGTCCAATGGGGTCCTCATCAGGGTTGAAGAAATTGCTCACCAGCTGATGGGCCTCAAAGGTAATCCTCATCTTCTCAATTGTTGAATCCGTCATGATAGTCAAATGAGCTCTTCCCCCACCCTTTTGATCCTCAATGGTCACCAATTGCCAATCTTGCTTCGTCTGATCATCCAATGCCTCAAGGTCCTCATTGGGTTCTTGTCTCATGGGCTTGTTGGTTCAGCTCATCTTGAAGGTCCCTCCTAATCTTTTTGATGGTCTTCCCATGTGTCCTGGTCTCATGGCCTGCAAATACAACCTTAATTGATCCCTTTTTCACCCATACAGGAACCTGATCTGAGAATCCAAGCATACATTCAGGCTTTGCCACAAATTCCTTCAGATCTTCATGCCCCATGGACACAAGGCTCATGATATAGCCATGGTGGTTCCATGCCAATTCTGTTGAAATTTGTTGATCCTCATTGCTCAAGGGCGCCAACGCATTTGGAGTCATATGTTTGGCACCAATAGTATCCATAAGCATCTTGACCCTCTTGTCCCTTTGTTTATACCCCTCTTTGATGCTCTTCATTTGGGATTCAGCCCTTTCCAATTGATTGATACAAAGAATCTTGTGGGGCCCATCTTCCAGCTCATCCCTTTTCTCTTCAAGCTTGATTTTCTCCATTGATAGCAACTGAAAATATTTCCATGCAAGATCCATCTTCTGCACCCCATGCCCATAATTCCTTTCCCTTTCCAACCATGTCTTAACCTCACCAACCAAATGGGGGAATTGTTGCTTGGCACCCCCACCTGATGCCCTGATTCTTATGTGGTTCCTACCTGATTTTTTTTCCCTTTGCTCAATCCACTCCTTTGCGTTCTCTCATCTGCTGTTGTGCTTTGCTGATGCTTCAGAATCTCTGTCTCCCATTTGGACCTTTCAACATAAATCCCCTTTAACACATGAGGTCTCATCAGGATTGTCCTATTCCATTTCCTTGTGTATTTTCCTTTCTGATTCTTCAATACGCTCTCCGTTGGGGGAGGGGGTCAGCCAAAAAATAAAAAATAACAAATTGGTGCTGCCTCAAATCAAGGCCACCAATTTTTGTACTTTTTTTTTTGGTCGACCCCACCCCCTAGGAAACTATGTGCGGTGATGTCTATGCGATATCTGCTATTGTGATGTGGTGCGTAATATAACATTATCCTCCTACATTTTAACCTTAAATAAGAATACCTCCAATGCATAGATAATAAATTAATGAAATTAAAATAAAAACATCGATAATATCTATAATTTTACCAATTCACCTCTAACATATGCATTGTTAATTTAATATTTATTATGTATAAAAAAAATATATTACAATAATATTTACAAAAAAAATAATCGAACAATTTTTTTATATTTTTATATTTATTAAACAGGTAATTTCAAAATAACATTTAAAAAACAAAATAATTCAATTAAAATACAAATCATAACAAATCTTCATAGAATATTTATTAAAAGAAAAAAAATATATTGCATATATTCCAAAATAAATTATTGCTTAATTCATTCATTTCCTAATCATTCGTTATTATTCTATCGGAAATCTTATGTCCAATATTATAAAACAATAAATTATAATAAATTCCTATTTATTTAAAATATTTTATAAAAATTATATATTAATTTAACAATTATTATTCTCTGCCGGCTAAGTGCTCTCAACCCGTGTTGGGCTTGCAATCGACGAACGATCGGTAGCTTCCGGAGTTGCTGCCCGGGCGATATCATGCGATGCGGATAAAAATAATTAAATTCCTAGGTTCAATTATTTTATCGAAAGCTATGAATAATGCTAAAATATCAACAAACCAGAACATATATGTATCTATTTCCATCTTTAGAAAGTAAAAATTCGCGACAAGAATCCTATAATTATTTATCCAAAAAAAACCCTTATATTTATTATTATAATAAATATCAATAAATTACTATTTATTTAAAATATTATGTAAAAAATAAAAAATATTAATTTAACAAATTCGATTCAAAAAAAATATATCATTATTAATATATAATATCAAATTTAATTCGAACATATATTCGCAATAATAAAAATAATATCTATATTTTTCAATGTTTTTCAAATTTATTTATAAAATTTACATCCAAATAAATTAATATTATTTATCTAATTAAATCAATTCATTTCATTCAAATTACAATCATATATAATTATTAATTATTATTAAATAAAAATTCAAATTATATAATTTTAATTTTAAAAATCAAATTAAATCAGTAACTAAAAAATATATTTATAATATTTTAAATTACATAATTAAATTTCTTTTTGTTGATAATTATTTTTAAAAAAATCGTTTTATATATTAATAATTATAACGCCAAATTGCATTCCCGCAATCTATAATTATTCTATAAAATTCTTTAGCAAATACCACTAGTGCTTACAATCGATCAAAATGTTTCTTTATAAAAATTGTCCATTATAATCTAGCCTTTGTTATTAGTATACGGCGAGCAAAAAAAGAATTGCGGTACACCTCTTTGAAAACAAATATAATTAATTTTGTTAATTGAAATTTAATTATCGATATGAATTAAATATCTTCGATAATAAGAACCTATAATAATATCATTCGAATGATTCCTATAGTTGATTTATAGGTATTGATCGGCTAACCGTGTGTATTTATATTATAATTGCAAAAAAAAATATTAGACAAATCTATTGATTATTATGATCAATTTAGTCCGGAAAATGCTCAGAGAGGAATTTATGATCCAATGCCTTGTTCTATTGAGCATCAGTCATGATTTCAACAGCTTGGCAAGGCGTGAGGTGGCGGCTGTTCGAGCTGAAGGGCGCTTAGCAGGGTCGATCACCAACAACGAAGCAGTAAAGTTCGCCAACGACCTTGGTTCATTTACGTTCAGGTTCGCCCATGTTTCCAGCTCCCACCGCCGAGCGTAAATAGTCTGGGCCCACATGTGCTCTTTCTGCACCAATTTCTTCAACGGCTTCTGCTGCTTCACCTGCCGCCAGTCATCCATGTTGTAGTCAATAACGAACAAATGAGAGAAATGCTTGCACGTTGGGACGACAACACGCGAAGCCCAACCAAATGCTGTTGTGATGTGAGCGTTGAACCGTTGATAGTTAATGGATCGAAATTCGTGCGATTGAAATTGGCAGAAACACTGTGCTGATACTGTCCAAAGGACGTGGCTTAGGGCAGCAACTACAACATTGTGTGGGCACCTGCACATCGATCATATTGTATATATGTTGCTTCATCATTCAACACAAAGCTTACTTGCCTTGCTGGCGGACTCGGCATCAGGCGAACGCAACTTCCATGACGCCATTTTGTCCTGTGAGCCAGGACTGCGGTCTTCGAGTCTCCAACACTAAAATCCAGCCTGTGTGACAAAGCGCCCATCAGGTCGCTGCCCAGCTCTTTCAAGCAAAGCTTGTGGAAATCTGCACAACATATTCAAGGGTGCAGCCAGTCGCAACTGCATTCGTGACTGTGAATAACTAAGTATATATCTGTGTACTTTTAATACGATATATTTTACGTGTACGGTTTGTGGATTCAAATCGTGGCCTCTCGATGCTTCGCTCCATCATGGCCAAGTGCTCAAGGCTCTCATGCGTTCGAAACCTTAGGTGCTTCAGTTCGGCTGAAACCCTCGGAGGTCCTGATCGCACCTAGTAGCTTCTTGCTCCTAGGAGTAAGGCCAGGAGCCTCTAGTAGCGTCCTTGCTCCTACTGGCGGTGCCAGGGGCCCCTGGTAGCTTCTTGCTCCAAGTAGCTATTCTATTCTCTATTTGTGCTTGTAGCTTCACAGATTGAGCCGTGTTCAAGAGCCTTGTGCCGAGTGTTTACGGACGGCATGACCTTGGCCATCCTTTGCTGCACACTGGTTGTGTCGCCTGGTCTCTTGAGCAGCTGATAGCGCCGGAGGTTCGATTCATCATTGCGGTGGGCCCGGCTCGGACGTACACTTCGGGAGGTGTGGTGGCAAACCCTGGCTTCTTGCAATTTGCTTGCTCCATGTGGTTTTACCTCAATCCTTGCAGTTGGCCTGGCGGCGCTTTGGGGCTCGTTTCGCCTTGGGTTTGGAACATGTGTTGCCGAGAGGAAGGTGTTTTTCTATGACGCTGGCCATCAGGGAGCCTGGAGCTTGCACGGTCAAACCTACGTGCGAGACGCGTCGCAACCCATATATTATATATCATTCAGTTAAATTCAGTTAACATTCAGCACTTTGGGCAGAACATGTGCCAGCAACACTGATTGAAGCTATCCGACTATCAAACACAGCTGCGAACAGGAGTTCACCGGTGTAGAGCTCCATCACGATGCAGCCCACAGACCACAAATCGGAAAGCTCATTCCAACCTCAATGTGTACATGGTGCGCCCTTCTATATCGCCTGACTCTTGCAAAGCCTGTTGGAACCTGCTGAGATGCGGACCCAAGGATAGAATGACCTCTGGTGCTCGGTATTGCCTGCGGCTACTTTCTTGTAGTTTGGGACATTATGTAGACGCATCCCTCAGAGTGTCTCGCCTAGTGTTGATGATTACAGAGTGATGCTCCAACTCATAGGTTGCATTGCCTCACAATGTTTCTTCCATCGCTCTGTAAAGCATCAGGCAATGGCCAAGGGCATTGCCAAAGTCGATGAGTTTGATTTCGGTTGACACAGGCCGGACCTTGGCTACAGCTTTATACTATATACTCAAGCATGCGGTAGAGTTCAATGCGCACAGAACCTCTCCAGACTTTAATCAGAAAAGCACAAGCATGTCGCTTCTGCAATTATTGTTGGCTTGGTGCAAAGCATATTCAGCACTAGGGCGTGAGGAAGTTGACTTGGACGCTAGCCACGCTGCCTAAAACAAACAAACAACTAAACACACCAACAAACCTGTAGGCTGGTGGCAAAATGATAGGAGTGACATATTATAAATACAATACATGTGATTCTAGTGGCACAGTAGGCCTCTCGAGGAAAGGAAGAAGGCTGTGGAGACTCAGATGACTGAAAAAGAACCTTCCATTCAAGTTGCTTCTGCTCACTTTGCGGCCATGGATGGGTTCCAATGTGTTGCAGTAAAGGTTAAAAACAGGCCGGCATGGCATTTTCAAGTTTGAGGTCAGTGTGAGTTAAATTCATGTCTGCGTGAAGGAAGCGTAGAGAATTGAGGCATTGCTGAGCCACGCTCTGAATGTCCTTGCCACGGAGTAGTTAAAAAGTATACGGGGTGAAACATTGATTTGTTCAACTTGAAGCCACACCTGCACCCACAAACCACGATAGCGGTTCTTCTTCAGGAGGTCATACAAAGACATGCCAAGAGCCTGGAACAGTTGGCATGACTGCATTGAAATCAAATGAGCCAGAACATCGCCTCACAAACAATGCAAAAGAGTCGTTCTCCATTCGCTTCATGGAAGAAGGTCTCATGTAGCCGAACCTGTTCGCAAATGCCAGTCACACTAGCTAGTGTGCTGCATCATTGCACAAGCGGAAAGAGTGGAGCATGATTTAGGGAAGCTGCGCAACCGCTAGATTTCCCAGATTCTGCTTTTCGAATGTCCTGCAAACAGTCTGCTTGTCCTTTTGCGCGACTCTCTTGTGCCAGCTTTTTGAAGGTCCTTCAAGATCTCAGCTTCCCGCATAGCATTGCGGGTGTACTTCTGGACCTATGACAGCAGTAGCATGATAAATGATGTGTGGTCAACTATAACTATGCAGAACTGCTGCCAGCATTATCGGCATCAGGAAGGAGTATGGAGAGCGCCCAGGATGAACAGTTTGAAAGAGGAAAAGCGCCTGCTATTATTGGATCGTAGAGTTGCAAAAGGCCTAGCTTTCGTTCCGCCCTTGTCAGGTCATTTGGTTATTCGACAGCGTGATGGCTCGCTGCTTCAATGTAACAATGTAATCATCCCTGCCAACTCTCATAAAGCTGGCTTCTTCTGCATAATTAAGCTACCGCAGGGCTCTCCACAAAAAGAAAACACACAATTTAGTTTCCAGGCCCGTTTTGTCCCCTCGGCCCCCCCATATACAGTAACGAAACTTGCTTCAACCCAGCCTGCCGGCTAGCTATCGTAATTAGCCAGCTATCCCAAGCCCACCACTAAGTTGCAGGCATTGCGAATGATCTTTATAGCAACCTGTCGCTTCTTCCTTTGATCTTCAGCTAGAAGCACACGGCCAAACGTGCCGTCACCAAGCAGATCTAGCACAGTGTAGCGGTGGTTCATGGCCAAACCAGAAGCCCACCTGACATGCAAACGCTGCAGCCAAGGCTCATTGCACAGCTTCTCACTGCACTCAATTTAGAATATAATGTAGTACAATCATACTCTGTTCAAATCGGCATCGCCTGAAGTGCTGAACTTCATCCTTGTCCAAGCGTGGGCCATTGCTCTTCTGCTCAGCTTCCACCACCGAGGTGTCGGAGGAGTATGAAGTACTGTATTCCTCCTCTTCTGACTCTTGGCTATCTGTGCAGGCACTCACTGAGATGACGTAGCGCCCTTTTTTCCTCTCGTCATCGCATCGCTGGCTTCTGCTTCTGCTAAGCTGGCGGCCGTGTCCCCGAACGCCCTGGCTATCGCGGCTGCTCCCGTAGCCAAGCCCCTTCATCCCGCGCCACCCATGGCAAAAGATTCAGGGCCATTGCGTAGGCCGAGGATCAACTCTGCTGCCGTGGGCTTCTTTTGGGAGGCCAAAGTGCCAGTCGAACAAAGAACACTTCCAGTATCAATGATATGCTGATATGCGACGATTTGTGCGCTCTGCTCCACACTTCCTGGAGTGGTGGTTGAGTGGATCGGTGGCTGCATGTCAAGCCGCAAACTGACCGCTTTTTGGGCACAGTCGGATGTTTCCCTTTTGCAGTAGCTCTGTAATATTACATATAAGTCAAGGCAGCCACTTGAGAAAGACACACCTGTCACAACAGAGAGGGCTTTGTCTTGCGTGCCTGATGTCATTGACTGAGCAGGATCACTTCTGCAGCCGGAGACTTCACCAAGGAAATAGAAAGCAAAACAACTTTTCCGTGGGCCCATGGATCTGGGCGGCAAACCAGCGACTGATGCGCATCAAGCCTGCCGGGTATCCTGTCTTTGCGCACGCTGCACGCGCGAACACGCTGCAACAGCAGTCCGCGTCAGTTATGCTGCATAAGGGATTGCAAAAATGTAAGATGCATTTGGAAAAAAGGATCAACTAGGAGGGAAAGACTGCCATTGGATAGCTTCACACTTGCGTCTGCAGGTGTCTCTGTCAGTACTCCGCACCCAAATGTTGCGGCAATCACACATTTATGACTGGCTATCACTGGCTGGCATGCTTTGAGTGACGCCAAAAAATTGGCCATGCTGGCATAACCCCCTGACCAATGAAACGACAGGGTCAAGGTTTACTGAGCTGGACGTCACCATGCGGGTAGCCAGTGAAGAGTAGCTTCCCCAGAAAGTTCGCATGGGAAGTGCAATCATGACCCTACGGGTTGCTTTCGCTCTCTTGTTAGTTTAGTTCCCAACCACACATGGGGAAGCCTTCAGACAAATCTTATGGACTTCACTCAGAGGTTTCAGATGAGGTCTCGCTTTCCTGGGTCTCCTCTTTCGGCGGTGCACCTTTGGTGTCATCCGCATCATCATCTTCGTCCGCCATGTCAGCAGTTACTTGGCTCGCATTGGCTTCACTTTCCTCCAAATCCTGAGGAGGTGAGCATGAAACACGATTGCACATTCTCAGCAGCCTGCAGTGACCGACCAAAGTTGCACTCGCTACTTGTAGCGCACTGCAAGTCTCCCACCTTCTCTTTTTGCAACTCCTCAACACTGGGAAGAGCCTGCTTTTCTGAACCTGGCCTGAGCCGAACATGGTGTTCGATGATGCCTGAATTAGATTACATAACTAAGGGTGACTTATTATGTATATCTATATATATATATGTGTGTGTGTATGTGTGTGCACCCCTTGGAGTCACAGGGTTCCTTTCGGAGTGTTTCGCTTTGGCTTTCATTTTCAAGCAGCAGGGGGCCAGGACTCCCAACGAAGACCGCGCGCCAGGGAGGTGAAAACGTACCTGCTATTGTTAAATTATTGATTGGTTGCTGTGGTCCCTTGGTTTGTTTCGTGGTGGTTCATGTGCCTGATGTTGTTCCAGGAGGTGTTTAGGTTTTCAGGTACTTCATAAAGGGCTAATGCACGTTTCGCCGTCATCCTGTCGCTCGTTCGTTTTCGTTCAGAGCTTTGGACCTGCAAAGGGCTAATGCACGTCTCGCCGTTGTCCTGTCGCTCGTTCATTCTTCGTTTTGAGCTCTGTAGATCTTTAACTTACCTGAACCTTAGGCGGTTTACTTAGGCTGGCGTGTGGCAACCGCTTTCGAGTCAGTACGCATGTCAATAAGATTCAATAAGTGTGTGTGACTTGGATTTTGCTGCAAGCTGAGGACAGTACAAAGCTGTGAGCTTGTCAACACCCCAGGCCAGCACGTCAGCGTATGAACTTTTGACGAGGTCCTGTCCAACGGAGGTGCAAAACGCTGCTTATGAGCAGATCTGTGTACACATACTTGCGTGTCCTGAACATCCTCGAAGGATGTGTTTTCAGCAATCTGCTGGATGGCTACAGCTGCAATACCCAAGCTGGCAAATCTGACTAGAAGCATGAGGGCATCATCCTTTCTCTTTTCCCATGAGTAAAACGGCTGGAAGGAATCAAGGAAGCCACAGTACCTGACACATCCAGAGAGTGAGTGGTCAATTTGAGAACAAGAGTGATATACCAGCATTCAAGAACGGTGCCAACTGAACATGCCAACACATGGCTGAGACCAAGTTGCTCGTCGTTGAGGTTGGGGAAAATCCAGAAATCGAAGCCTATCACCCAGAACATTGTGAAAATCAACATCCGCAAAATGAGGACGCCAAAGTAGAGCGTCAGGAAGATCACACTGAGATACCAAACGCCCACCTGTCCAAAAAAAGCAAATGAAATCAAAGTCTGAAGAACAAAGAAAAAAGAAGCGAAAGGAAAGGCCCCTGCAATGTTTTTGTCTATGACTCTATGTTGTTCATCATTCTTCTATAGACATCTGCAGACTCTTTTGTCGAAAAATTCAAGCTCCACGGAGGAGCAAGAAGCCTTAGCCCACATAGGCCACACCGGGAACATGCATGCAAGCAGGACCCCCGCAATAATTAGGGCAAGTAGGAAGTGCTGCAAGCCAGTTCCTCCTTCGTAGGTGATCACGTAGAACCTTTAGAATCAGCACTTTCTTGACACACCCCCTCTATCTCTCTCTTTCATCTTTCAGGCTGCGGCTTTTGCGATTCGGCTCTGGCTCTGAGGCCTCCACCCTTCGCAATCGAAGCTTTGGTTCGGTGTCCTGCCCAAACGGTCAGGCCACTTCTTTGGCTTCTTCTCCGACCCATCGTCCGACTTGGAGGTCGGATTCAAAGGCTTGTACATTGCCTGATCATTCTCAGCCGCACAATTTGGACCAAACTCCATTCAACTTGTTCAGCAAGCTCTCTTGACTGCATGATTTGGGTTTTCCTTTTTGGGGGGGGGAGGGCGGGCCCAAGGAAATGATGGCCGAAACTCGCCGCAGGAAGCTCTCAAATGGCCTTGTAGCAGAAGTTCCGCTGAATTAGCTCGTTGCCAAGCTTCTCGATATCCCGATCACTCTCAGGAATATTTCCCTCTAAGGTCTCGTCCAAAGCTTTGGAGCATTTCTTCTTCAGAATGGTGTCATGTTCAAGCAGGAACTTCTTGAAGTCCTTCCCACGGAAGTAATCCACTTTCTTCTTGCCAACCTCAGCTGCGGACTGCCCACAAGATCCACTGTGTATAGTGTCCAAACATCACATCAAACCACCTAAACATGTACTTTACATCACGCCAAGGAGGGTGCTTCGCTGGCGCTCTTCGTCTTGATACCTTTCTTTCCCAAAAGTACCTTCATGAGTGGTTCGAAGGTTGGGTCCCACTCTGGCTCCTTGTCATTTTTAGCTTTTCCTTAGCGGTGAAAAAGAAAAAAACAGCCGATGAGCGATGAGCGTTCAGAACAGCAATGAGTTTCACCCCTCAGGAGCACACTGAACATGACCCACAGCAGCGAGATGCGAGGAAATCAAAATCTGCACCCGCTACAATTCACAGCTTTGGGCCGAAGGTAGCGTCCTTGCTCCTAGTAGCGGTGCCAGGGGCCCCTAGTAGCGTCCTCGCTCCCAGTAGTAAGGCCAGAAGCCCCTAGTAGCGTCCTTGCTCCTAGTAGCGATGCAAATCTTAACTTCACCCCTGACACCTTTGGTGGTTCACAAAGTGCACTGCAGCTTGCAGATGAATGTGCGGAAAGCATTTGGCTTGCTTACTCCACATCTGATGAGGGTGACAATGAAATTCAATGAATGCACGAATGAATTTCTTGACCCTGGGCTCTTCACAAGGAGGGATCGCCCCCTCCAGCCACAGGCTTCAAGTGGCGTGCGCTGCATTCAAATTAATTGGATAAGAACTGCACATTCTGCAAGAGGAGGACATGCTAAGCCTAGGGGCCTGCAGTGAATTCAAATGTATCATATCTACAACCGGGCGCTGCTATTTCCCACGCCGGGAGGAAGCTGCAGCTTGCCTGCCACAAGGTTCACGAATCCGGAGAGAACAGTACAATCAACACATGCAAAGAGTTCAAGGGCGGGGCGGTCCGGGAAATATCAACAAGCTTGAGTACTTGAATCTACTTGTGATGTGCTGAGTCCAGGGGCCTCTGCCCCCTTCACAGTGTAAAAAGCAACGCAGCAAGACTTTAGTTCATCGTGCATCTGCTTCAGAACAAATGTTGAGGCAAATTCCCATGAACTTTGTTACTAGTAGCGATGCACTTGTTACTAGTAGCTTCTTGCTAGTAGTAATGCCCTTGTTACTAGTAACGATGCACTACACGCAACCATGCGGAATCAAGGGCCGCCCGCACGAGGCTTTCAGTCCTGCAGCTTCCCGTATTTGATTTGGGCGGCGCAGACCGCAAACAGCGCTTCGGCTTGCCACCAGTGGTGCACTGACTCACCTGTCAAACGAAGCCTAGGGCCTAGGGCCTAGTTGCATGGACCTGTGTCCGAACATGGCATGTGCATGGTATCATTTAGGTTGGAGACCATCGCTAGTAGGTTGGAGGCCACAGCTATTAGAAACAAAAAACAACATGGCACGTTCTTCATGCTCCTTTGTTGTTTTCAAGTGCGCGCCTGCGCTGCAAATCTCAAGGAGCAAAGTGTCTCATGGGCATGCATTGCCTCTGGACCGACATTGACAACCATCAGGGTTTTGCCCTGGCCATTTAAGCAAGGCCTTAGATCATGATGGGTCAGGTTGGGCGGCACTTGAGCTCTGGGGATCCAACTCCATTAAGTGCGTCCTCAGGAATGCTGCAAACGTTCACACTTGGCCGCATCATGATCTTACATATTATATGGTTTTCATGAATTTCCGTATCTTCTCAACTGAGTCCGTGTCAGCTTGCTATTTCGAAATGGGATGTGAGAGCGCCCCTCAGCTTTTGCAAGGAAAACATCGGCCAAGCTTGACCTCAGCCACAAAACATATATGGCAAGTGTGGTATGTCTTTGGAATATGCTGTGTCGCTGACAAACTCTTGTTGATGTTCTGAGTTTCTTTGAGCCGATCCCCTGTGGAGCCAGACCTTGGCGCGTGTCGCTTACCCAAACCCTTGAGACGGTCACTGAGAAAACTGCTTGTCCAGTCGCTCAGAGCCGGCCAAGTCCACCAAATGCAGTGCTCCCTGAAGTTCCTTGCAGCATTTTGGAGCCACGGGAGCTCTGCAAATCTGTCTCCCCCGCGACACCTCTCCACTGAGTGTTTGGCACACTGAAGCTCACGATTCACGCCGTGTAAGTACATAGCGAAGATTGAGTGTGACCGGGAAGAGGTCGCATTCATGTCAGTCGCACCAACCTGAGGTGAACCACCGTCAGAATGGATTTCTACTTACTTGCGACAGGTAGCTGCACAAACGTCTGCATCGCCAGTCACTGGATGAGACAGGGTTGCCACATACAATCACTGCCTTTAATAGTCCCCTTCTGAAACCTTCAATTCGAGATGAACATCTAGGCGTTCATAAACTTGTCCAAGCCGCTGCTCGAGCCTTTCCAGCTCTTTCCATGAGCCTATTGATGTGATCCATTTGCTTCACCTGATTGACAAATATCACTTGCCACCAGCCATTTGGTTTTCTACCTGCATTGACAAGCATGCTGGCACCAAAGCTACATTTGTCGTTGCCTCCACGGACGTGACGTTTGTCACCATGGTGCCATATGCATCATCGTGCTTGATCACATGAACCAGATTGCTTCCATCATTGTCCAACAAGTCGCGAAGAACCTCGAAGGGTGAAGCAATATTGAAGCTTGATTGATCTCGAAGGGTGCTAGCCTCGTTGTACACCTCAAGGAAAGATACTTTCAAAGTCCATTCCCATCCTGGAGGTGACAAATCTCCCCACAGGTCATGGTCGAAAAGAAGGTCCGCATTTGAGTGTGACACACCTGGAATAAAGGCCTCTCAATAGCCTCTACTCCTACTCCTTTCTGGACTTATATAAACCTTTGCTGTCACTACCCGGCCTGCTGCTCTCATTGCCTCCGAGCACTGAAGGATCTTTGACAAGCAGCGAGGTATCAGACCTCATCATTAGCACCACTGCATATGAGCCCCCTCGTGAAGCGAAGAAAACAGCATTTTGTATACTGGATTCTGTGCATTCCACCACCGACACCGCCAATCCGTGGAATCCAAAAGCCCAAAATCGGCAAAGCCAGGCAGTGCGTGATAATCCGAGGGAAGAAATGGAGTACACAGCAAGCATCAATGCACTGCTGGCGAGGTTGCCAGGCTTGAAAGCTGGAGGATGTGCGAGAGCATAAGAAGAGCAAAATCTTGTCAGAAGACCTAATGACCTAACGATACTAGCACAAATGATCATCATTCTGTGATGCTTTTAGGCTTCTGGCCTCTAGCCCCTTCAGATCCTTGCATTGTGAATGTCTTGCCAGAGCCTGTCTGACCATACCTAGCTCGGAGCTCCATGATTTGTAAAGTTAGGAGTTAGGACATGCAGCAGGCCGATCTTAAGGCCACCGCGCGAAAATGCAAACTTTGTACCCATCCTTAGTCAGCCGCTGGACGGAACTTGCTCAAGGATGTGGCTTCATGTGAGGCTTTCAGTTTAGATTCCAATGCGGATTGGACAAGGCCGTCAACTTCATCAAAAATCGCCTCGCAAGCCGATCTCATTGCTGAACTAAAGGGCAGACCGGTTCATCTACGCGAGGCCGGCTGACTGAAATGTCAACATCGTGTCGACACGCATCATTCCCAGCAGTCCTCCTGGGTTGATGTAGTATCAAAAACACGGTCAAAGCCAAAGGTGTAGGACTCGCTCATGTGATCCAAAGCAATCCGGTTCTGACGGACTTACAAGAACAACGTCTCAAAGACTTATGAATAGCTTATGAGTCATGATCAAAGAGTTGGTTGAAAACAACGGCCTCTGAAACCTGCAGACTCAAAGAGTCTCTGTTCTCAAGCTGTGGTCGGATCCGGCAAAAGACTCGAATGTTGCCTTTCAGCTCCTGGGAGGCTCAAGCCGAACTGCAGAGTCGGCAGAGTAAACAGAAAACACTGGAGTAACAGAAAAACGTCAGAAGGGCTCAGCCACTCAGCTCCTGAATCACATTGTGCAGCTCACGCCGAGTAAGCTCAGCTTGGGCCAACTGATTCTCCAAGGAAATAATGTAGCCTCCCCGACTCTAGCTCATTTCCCCTATCTTTCTCTCTGATCTGATCTCTCTATCTCTCTATATTTTTCACCGGAAGACTGTGACAGTTGCTACACAGTGGTGACACGACATTTCACAGGCTCCGCAGTAGGCCACCGCGTGACTTCATGACTCTGAATGACCCCGTCGCCTTGGCGTTGGGTAAGGTTGCCCTGCTGAATCTGCAGCTCGGCTTTCGTGAAATCCACCTGCTTGCTCAGTTTATCGACCTCAAGGAGTGACTCGAACGACGAGAATGGTGACACACGTGCTCCAGGACATCCAGACCCAAATTTTGGCAAGGCAGGAAAGCATGGAATGAAATGGGCCTTGAATCAGAAGCCGCTGACTGGGGGCACAGCTGTAAGTTTCAACTCGGTGATCGCTTCCATCTGCTGTTGGTTGCTGGTCCCGTGGTGCTCTTTGTAGCTGCGAAACTCCACCTCCCAAAAAGAGCATGTCCCCCCCCAAAAAAGCACATCATAAAAACTACCAGGCTAGGGTAACAGTCAAATATTCAACCCTTGATCATCTATGTGCGTATGTGTGCGTATCAACACCTGCGTTAGGCATGTTAGGCAACAGTGGGCTTTGTTTACGGCAATCCACTGTCAATCGTCCAACTCAGGGGGCGGGCGGACCTTCAAGGCATCACGCTCCATCGAGAGTTTTTCACATTGAGCCTGCTTTGCCTGGCTTGTATCTCAAAGACTTCGGGTGCCTTTTGCATTGTTATAGCGCTGAAGGCTCGTCTTGAGTCTGCGTGACTGAGTGACTTGCATCAACTGAGGCTTTGAGGCTGATAGCCTCCTGGATCACAACACCGCTAGGGTTGATCGCTAGCAAAATGACCTGTAACAGCTCCTCTTCAAACCTTTTTGCTAGCATCTTGAGTCGGATGAGTTCCTCCTCACCACAACAGAGGCGAATCGGTGTGCACCTGATAGCTTGCAACTGGTAAGAGCCTGCAAGGCAGCCTGCCGCTCAGAAGCCTTTTCAGCCCTTAGCTCAGGTTGAACTTCGAAGGACTGCGCGCTCTCTGTTTGAGGCTTCAGCAGCTGCTCCTTTTCGGTTTCCAATCGTTGGATACGCTGCTGCTCCCTCTCTTGAAGATCGTGCATTTGGTGCCTGTGAGACCGGCCATTCAAACTCTTCAATTCTACGTATAGAGCTGAAACTTGCTAAGACCCACTCTCCGGACCTCGTGGAAACCAGCTCCGCCTCTGATTGATCAGCCCTCTGCAAATTTGCCTTGCGTGCTTGGGATAGTGAAGCTTATTGGATCTTATGGGTAGTAGGTAACAAAGATCAAACTATTTCTGATGCAGTATGTCATTCGCACTTCTGGCTCTTCAAGAACATTTCCGCCGAATCAAGACATGCGAAGGCTCACGATGGAGCGATTGCGCAGATCTTCTGCCTGCTGACGCTTGAGCAAGTAGCCAGCTGCTAGCTTAGCTAGCTTTCGGCAAGACATGTCGCATGTTGCTGTAGTAGGACTGCAGCTTGGCATGTTGGCCTCTGTTTCCAACCTCTGCACACGCTGCTGCCTGAGGAAAGATTCCCATGCTTAAATGATCTTATATAAATGTATATACAAACACGTGATGTCAGATTCAGGACCGTCAAAACTAAGCGAGGCTCTCCAACCGTAGCTGTTCACTTGAAGCGTTTTGGAGGAGCTGCATCGACTGAATTGTGTCGCGCAAGTTGGCTTCCTCCGGACAAGGAGAATAAAAACCGCCTTTCGCACCTCAACCGGTTGAAAAGTGACTGCCCAAGTAGGTCAACGCCTATGACATCCTACAACTGCAGAAAAGAGACAGCACAAACAGCACAGCACTAGATTGGATCGCTTGGCCTTTTCGTCAAGCTGGCGTTGGAGGGAGTGGACCATTTCCCGCAACGAGGTTTCCTGATTTGTCAGGCAGTCATGCCTTGCTCCTTGCTATACAAAATGTGCGCTATGAATGAATCAATCAATCAGTGTCAATACAAGTTCTGCCTGCTGTCTCAAAAAGGCAGCCGATTCTGAAGCTGCACGTTCAGCAGCTTCCTCCTGCTGATTCTGCCCAAACTTGCATGAGCTGGAGCACATTCAAACGAACTGCAATACAAATACAAACCTCTTCAATTGCAAGTTATGTTGCGTGCAAGCTGACCCGTGATACGGGGTCTACAGTACCCTTTCAATGGAGCATCGATGTTGCGAAGCAAACCTGCATTGACGTCCCTTGCTCCTAGTAGCGATGCCAGGAGCCCCTAGTAGCGAACATTGCTCCTAGTAGCGATGCCTTTTGCTCCTAGTAGCTTCTTGTTCCTAGTAGTAAGGCCAGGAGCCCCTAGTAGCGTTCTTGCTCCTAGTAGCGACGCCACATAGAGAGTGCGATCCACAAAGAATGAAGACGCGGATCACACTCTGTATGAGGATGATGGAGCACAAAACAATGCAAAGCATGACGGTTGAGATTGTTAATATAGCCATGGCGGGTCATGCCCCATCTTGTAGAGGCGCCATGTGTGGGGTACAACATGGTACAACCAACTCTCTCTATATATATATTATCATGCTTATGTATCTAATTGTTTATTTATCTATACAGCTCAATGTAATCTTCATGCATTAGCCTTGGATCAGGCCCACTCATGCTTGATTGGCAAACTGGTGAGGTGGAACGGACATGAGCACACCAAATTTAGCGCAGTCTTGCATTTTGCCAAGGCATCTACAGTGTAATCTACAGCTACAAGGGTGGAAAACAATAGCCACCCCCTAGTGAGTGGTTTTGATCGCAGTTTGTATCACAATGGCCACTCATAAAGGGAGGGCTCGGTGGTATCATGAAGAGTGACACCGGCTCTATTTTTCCCAACTGCAGTGCCTATCCCAAGTGCTACATCGCCACCAGCAAGAACCCTGCAATTGTGGCTCTCCTTCAGCCGAAATGACTTCTCAATTTCGTCGACGGCTCGCTGCTGATTCTGCTCAAGATTGGAGATGCGGCTTCTCACTTCTGATTCCTCCCCAAGAACTTGTCAACATGAATTCCTCCGGCTGAACAAATGTCCGCAAAGTTGCGGGAGGGGATTCAATTTTGACCTTGTGGAACCGTCAAGTGCCGACGCTTCGGTCGCCTTGTCTGAGAGTTGCTGCTCCAACATTTTGACCGCCTGCTTTTGAGCTGCATCCTTCGAGTGAGGAAGCTGAGTGCAAAATGTGCGAAGAAAACGCTTTGTCTGATCCCCTCTTTTCCTCACTTCTTTGCATTCCGTCCATTCGTCCTTCTGCTCATGCGCCATGTCCTTCTCATCTAGTACTCTTTTGTGCGTTCTTTGCAAGCTCTCAACGAATTCTCTGAGCTCGGTCTCCTTGCAGCAAATTGGCGGGTAGGCCCATGGCCGGATAGCCGGATAGGCCCGACAACGCTCGGCAGCGCCCGATCACTGGCAATGCCAATCTGACTGAGAAATTTTCACACACACACACACACATTCTCTCTCTCTCTCTCTCTCTCTTTCTGTCTTTCAATCTTTCTCTCTTTCTTTCTTTCTTTCTGTCTGTCTTGTCTTGTCTTGTCTTGTCTTGTCTTGTCTTGTCTTGTCTGGTCTGTCTGTCTCTGTCTGTCTGGCTTTCCTTCTTTCCGTCTTTCCTTCTTTCCTTCTTTCTTTCCTTCCTTCCTTTTTCTTTCTTTCTCTCTGTTTTGAATTGCACTTGTAAAGGGGTAGAAAGGGGTAGGATCTTTCAACGCCAACTGTCATGTTGCTTTGCCCGCCTTCTGCTTGTGAACAGATTCCATTTCCCTCAATGCCGCCTCTTGAGTATCTCTCAAGACTTCAATGCTTTCTTTCATCTTGTGCTCCTGCTACTGCTAGTCACCCATGTTACAAACAAAGGGCCATTAAAGAATCATGCTGTTCGGTCCTTCTCTTTCAGTTCTGCTTGATGAGCTCGCTTGAGCTCATCAATGCTAAGGCTCATCTCCGCCTCCTCACACAGCTTTCCAAAAGCACCCTTCGCTTCAAAGATGAACAGTTGCTTGCGGTGCCATTTATCCCCCCTACTGCAAGTTCTACGATTTTCCCGTCCTTCTGCCGGTGGCCTGCCACCGCTTCTTGCAGCAGGGCTTCATGTGTTTCTTTCAAGTTGTCCATCGAGCTTCTCATCTTGTCTTCCTGCAGAACAGGAAGCCACAGGCTCAGAGTTCCAGCATTCTCTGCTTCAAGGCTCAATTTATCCAAAAATAAAGGCCTGCAGTCGGCCTTCGATCCACACTTTTGAACAAGAGTGCAATCTCTTGGTAGAATGAGCATGTGACTGAGCATGTGATACTATTCCCAATCCAGGTCAGACTAGCTTGTTGCTTCGGCAACAACAAACATAAAGTCCTTCTGCTGTTGGCGTTGCATCAGTTCCCGTAGAGTCACTTCGTGCTTCTTCTGCAAAGTCTCAATGCAGTTCTTCATGCGGTTCTCCTGCACCAAAGGGGAGCAAGGTAGCCAAACTTTGTGGACATGCCATGGTGGAACCTGAATGAACCATAATGAACCCATCAAATTTGCACATACAAGCAAGCTGTGTACATATCTATATATATATATATATTCTGTATATAGACTATATAGATATGATATAAAACTCACGAATCACTTAAGTAAATGGCAGCCCCTCCCTGGAAAAACAATACCTCTAAATCCAAAGAAGCAATGGTCAACGCGCTCCCAAGTCCTGCTCTTCAAGTGTTCCCTCCCTCTCTTCAATGGCAGCCTGATAGGTCTGCTCCATGTCACTAATAGTCGTTTTCATCTCAGACTCCTTCAGGTTGCAGAGCTATAAACAGAGAACAGCAACGATTACACCGCCACTGGTCTCACTGAAGTCCTTGTTCCGCAAAAGGGCATCTTTTTCATGCATGATCTTTTTGTAGTAGTCTCTGAGTGCATCAGTATTGGCCTGCATCTCGCTCTCCTGCGGCATAAGATAGAGAAGAAGAACCCTGCGCAAGGCTAGAATTAACTACGACTAACGACACGCTGTAGTGTGTACTTGTGTCCTTCATGCGGAGGACTTCTTTCAACTCATCCAGCTGCTGCTTGTGCTCTTGTTTTTTTGCTTCTTTGGCCTTTTCAAATTCGGCCTCAAATCCAAACACCCATGCAAATATTTTTGCATACAGCAATAAAGGCCAGCCAAGCTTGTTTCGGCATCCAATCAGCATACAAAGCCCGCCACTCGCAAGGTAACTTCTTTCTTGTGATGTGCTTCAACCAGCTGTTCCTGAGCCTCGTAGTCTCGAAGGGGCGGATTAAAGTGCCTCGCTAGTAGAAGCAAGTGCCTCGCTACTAGTAACAAGTGCCTTACTACTAGTAGTAACAATGTTTGCTATTAGAATTTAGTTAACTAATAGCCTATTAATAGCTTCTTGTTACTACTAGTACGGCACTTGTTACTAGTAGCGAGGCACTTGTTCCTTGCATGCTCAAGTTGAACCCCTTTTTTTGCACAAAAGCCTGCATGGTATCATTTACCTGCCGCCTTAGCAATTCTGCGGCCTGGCAAAGCAGCTCTAGGGGTCAAAAAGCGATAAACGGCAGCACACTGGAACGCCTCTTCCATCTGTGTCTTGTGCTTTTCTCCCATCTCTTCGCACCTTCGCTTGTATTTAGCTGCCTGGCTGATGTGGGACAACACAAACATTGTACAGTAGTTTGCTCACCCCCAAAGAAGCCGTTCTGGGCTTCCACTCCCTCTCTAAACAGGGGCTCACATCTTCAGAGTAGCTTCGGGCAATCTTCCTGGCGTCGATTGGGAATACTCACCACATGCTCACACGGTGCTCCGATTATGAAGTCCTGCCTGGCTTCTTCTAAGTCCTGTTCTAATCTTGATGTTCGGCTTGACATTTCAGAGAGTTTCTCCCCCAACAACTCCTCATGCCCTGGCCGAAGTGGTGGATGCAAAAACAGGACTTTTGAAAACAGTTTGCAGTTTGCATGGCCACATACATCCAAATTCTGGCAGGATGGCGTTTTCCTTCTTCAGTACTGCATCGAAGTTGCTTTTGCTCAGTGCGAAGCGCTGTGATTTCCTTGTCTGCGAAGCACAATCGCTCGTTGGCCTTGCAGGGCATTTGGACGGTTCAAGTTCAAGGTGAGGTCAAGTGAAGCTCATGTTTTGACATGTTATCTTGTACTCATACATGTCCAAATATGGCTCTTCAATCTCAACGTATCTCAACGTGGCCCCCTCCTCACTCACGGCTTTTCGCAGCATCACCACCTCTTGTGCTGAAGTTTGTAACCTTGGCCACTAGCGGCATGTTTGTGGCTGTCAATTGTGAAGACAGCACAATTGATGTGGGCTAAGCTCACGGCTGGTTGTTTATGCCACTCTCCATGCTCAGCAATGCCTCAAGAAGCTCAACTGGATAGCAAACAGCTCATGGCTTTGAGCAAGACTATCGTGGTGAAAAAGTTCTCATGTTGGAAATGTCATGAAATCTCAGGCTTGGGCATCAACCAACGCTTTTGCTTTGAGCCGTTGATCCGACAGCGCGTTTTTCAATGGGCAAATCATTGCTTGAAGATCTGCAATTTTGTCTTTGAAGTCGTATTTGCCAGCAGTGGGTTTCAGTTTAAGTACCTCAGCAAAATACGCACACCCCAGCGGGGATAATTGCAACATAACCGGAGTAATTACTAGCACCAGCTTCACATCATACGAGCTGCGGCTAGCACATCGTCAGGATCCCCAATAGTTCTCCGCAGCAAAGTATGGACATCAAATGCTTTCGCCCCTGTTGGCAAAGGTGGTGGTGGTGGTGGTGGTGTCCCTGCAGATACTGCTGCCTGGCATTGCTGGAGAGCGTGTTCATCCCTCTAAATCAGAAACTTGATTATAATGCCGTACTGTGGGTTACTGAGAGTTGGAGAGGCCAGTTACACCTCTGAGTGCTTGAGTGCTGAGGGTGCCACCGCGGTCGGCCCCCACTGGAAAACTGGTTTCACGAGGAGTTCGAAAAGAATGCCTCTAGGGGGTTGGTCTTGCCACCGCCATCGTGTCTGGAAATCTTGATGTGCAAGGTTAATTAGAAGCCTGACGAGCAAAGCCAGCATGGAACCTGACTACCGCTGGTTTGTGAGCCCGGAACCCGAAAGCCAGCCCCAACAAAAGCAGATGCCTCGCATTGAAAACGGAAAACCCACCGCAACTGTTCCAGAATCTGCATACAGTATTATACTCTTCGACATTCGCCTTTCCCGCAACGAAGCTCTCACCCGCCCCAATGGATCGACCAAAGTCTCATGAAGTCGTTGACCCCACCTTCTGGGAACCATCATGCACGGCCCCCTTTGTCACTGGCGGCGGGGTCTTGGGCTTGAAGCCAAAGCGGACACGATCATCGTCAGTTGGCCTGTCCTTGTACCAACAAATGTCACCAAGGATTGCAAGGTAATACTATAACGCTTTCATGCAGCGCATTGCTTGCCTTGGAGTCCTGGATGTTGGCAGGGGTGGCTGGCTGTATGTTCTCATCGTTCTCATGCCTAGGTCCATTCAAATTGATGTTACGAGTAAGCGTACTCAAATTCCAATCGCTCCAAAACTGAGAAAACACTCAGGGGAAGGCTCTGCCCTGACCTCTTGAAGTATGCCCCGGTACGCCATGCTCGCCATCCCCAAGCTGATGAACCAAATGCAATGAGTCAAGCAAACACTTCAGGTGCTTTTGCACATGCCATGCGTATCCATGCGTCTGGCTAGAGCGTGCCGCACCTTTTGTCTGCCTGGCAATTCTTTTTTTCCAGAAACAGGACCTGAAGTCTTCAGCGCACTTGATCGCCTTTGCCAAATCATCATCTTTGAAGCTTAGCTACCATGGTCTGCCGGGCTACCATAAACTGATGATTTGATAAATGGCACAGACTAGTTTCAGCGCGGATGGTGAACCTTAGCGAAAACAGCGATCAAAGGTTTCTTCCTGGATCAGGTTGCTAACAACCAACATCAACCAACTATTTCTAGACGTCAAATCGTGAGGAGCATTAGACTGTATAGAACAACTGTTCACTGAGCTGGGGTATGTGACATTTGGAACGCCCTGTGCCCGGATTTTGTGCTGCCAAATGCAAGAACTGCAAGAAGCTTCATTGACAAAAATCCATGGTCCAAGAAAGCAACTAGTAAATAGACAAGGACCCGGGATCCCGAAGTTGTAGTCTAGTGAGTCTAGTCAGGGCAGGGTGAGGAGTGCTAGGAATGCTAGCCCCTGCTTGCCTTGTGTCCTGCAGGACGAAAAGCACAAAAACAGATTGATTCGGTCCGCGTATGTGCACGTAAGCACGTTGGTTGTACATCGCACCGCGATTGCAGGAGTGCGGGTGCCAATGCAACGGGCATACGCAAACCAGAAAGCCAGATCCGCCATTAATGCAGCCGGCAAACATGCTAGTTTTTAGTGGTATATATATATATGTATATGTGTGTGTCCCTTGTCTAAACTCTTGACTAGACTGCTGTAACGGCAAGGGTGCGCCTGGGTCGGGGATATTCAATTTCATTGCAGTGGCAGGAACGTTTGTCGTTCACTTGGGGTTGATGAGAAGTATTTTGGCCATGCCTAGATTGCATATCATATGGCATCATTCTAGTCACCATCGACCTGAGGCCAGCAGGGGTGAACGAAAGCTCAGGGATGACCAGCTACCCGACGACGCTGCAAAACATACCAAACTTCAAACCTCAAACGTCACAGGCAAAAGACAATGTCGTCACTGTTTCACTTTTTTTGAGGCATTGCTACCCTGCCTTTGTGGGGAAGGCTCTGCGGAAAGTCGTCCCTTTGCAGAAGGATTACAGAAATATTTTGTCAAGCTACGGCTATTTCTACAGCGTTCCATTGGGATTGTCATACCGCAAGCGGATGTAAATCAATCAAACCCACACTGTTTTATAACTAGGGTTCCATAGGTTTTTGCATTCTATGGGTCCACGTTTCTGGTGAAAAATCAAGTTTTGGTAAGCTTCCATTGGGATTAGCTCGCAGGGTTGACTGGGGGATGACTTCTTGAAAACAGCGTTGCCATGGGGACTTGGCATTGAGATCATTGAGATAGTGGTGATGGATGACAAAGGGACTTTGTCAGCTTCCTGTATGTGGTGGCGTGGATGTTACACATTTTGTACAAATTCAAGCAATGCGAGTATATAATGATGATATCCACACATCATTCTGATGATTTCTTGTGTACTGGTGGCGAGGCGTAGGTTCTTTGAGTGGTGTACTAGTGAAGTGGTGTGTCTTACTCTTTCGGAAGCAACATTTTCCTGGGGCGAATCGCGCGAGCATTCAACATGTTCACTGCTGGCGAGATCCAGATCCATGTACCAAGGTACCGAGGGTAAAGTTATGGTGGCTAAAATCAACGGCAGTGCCTTGGGATGCTGCTACAGTCAGTGTCCGCTGCCAGTGAAGTGGTTGGTGAAAATGGTGTGTGGCGATGTGAGATGTGGAGATATGTGCAACGTGGCAGAACCTTACCCGCGATGGTGTGGATGGCCTGCTTTGACTTGAGCCATGACGGGATGGGTTCTCCTCTCATCTCTGTAACGTTGCAATTCTTTGCCCAAGTGAAGAAGCTCCGCTTCAAAGAAGGTGACCTAGTACATTTCTACCGCCAGTGAAGTGGAGCTTTAACAGCTAGCGGCTGGTTAGTTCGTGAAGATTCGTGAAGCGAGTGACTGCTAGTGAGTGGTGACGTGATTGGTCTATACAGGTGGTAACATGGTATTGTGCCTTTGCTGAGTTTCTGATCGTTGGTTCAAGGACGCTCTTCCGGCTGCACATTGTGCATCGCAGCTGCCGTTTTGTGCTACAATGCTGACGTGGTTCGGACCAGGACGGACCGATAGAGCTGAGACCCAGTAGGCGGGGGTCTAAGTCATCAAAAACCAGGTTGAGAGTCCAGGAACAAAAACTGCACGTGTTTGAACAATTCTTGCGAAAGCGTGCACGAGCATGCAAGAGAATGCGATGACAATCAATGGCCTCACGTGCCTCACCTTACGTCAGATTTTGAGGGCCTGGCGTCCAGGTCCCTAAGCATTATCTGCGAGCACGATCTCGCCCTCGATCGCGGCTACGACTTCTGCTTCGCCGCCGCCTGCGATGAGGTGGCAGCATCTGGCATCATCTGACTATCATTGATTGTCAGTAGACCATAGGCCCACTTCATCAAATGAGTCTCTTTGATTCTCGTCTTGGAACGTCTTGCTCAAGTTCAGTAAGAAAGTAAAATATCTAGGCCTCCCTCGGTCCCTGCTAGTGGTTCTGCTCCGCCTTGGTGTGAGCAGCAAGCTACGGACCACTCTACTTCATGCGTTAACCAATGGCTACAGTCAGCAAACGTGCCACAATAAAACAAAAGGATCTTCTTTGAAGCTCTTTTCTTCAGCTGTGGTTGGAACCGTCGGCTACGGCTGCGGCTGTGGCTTGCAGCTGCTGCTGCAACCTTGGCATGCTGCTGGACCAAGCCATATATATATATATAAACCCTTAGAACTAGTTCAAGACTATCCACATGTCAAAGCACATGGTCCGCGATGAATGAAGGTATTGAACCATGATGAACCATGCAACTAACGACGCAATATTATATTCAATAAATACTCCATGGAGGTGAGAATGGCTCCAGGGCTCAAACCGCTCTTTTCAAGCGATCTTTGCGCGAGTACTCTGCCAGCGCCCCAGTCTCCAGCTGAGCCTCAACCGCCTCATCAAGCAGAATAGTCGTTCATGTCGTTCATGTATATACTGAAAATGCTCCCCTTCCTTTCTTTTTGCCTGCTCACTTTGGAACGTTCCACCCGACTCTCACGGGTTCCCTTTGTTTTCAGTTTAGCCACCCGTTTCATTTCCAACTCGTTCCTTCCCGATGTCTAAACTTCTGAGCAGCCTTTCGCCCACTCTCCGTCAGCTCTTTGACGCGGGCAATGAGATTTGCCCCAATGGCGTCCGTCAATACTTTGGAGCCAGCCGGAGCCTCACTGAGGATGGTGGCATTGAGATTGAAAATAGGAGATCCATCACTGAGGATGGTGCCGTGACCTTCGCAAGTTGTACCACTTGGTCGGCCGAAAGGCGCGACTTTCTCTCTAGTTCTTTCCTTTGCTTTGTCACCTTGATGTGCGGTGAAAGATGCTTCGCATGTCTACACTTGCTTTCGCTTGGGGCGATGGCTTCGTCGTCACTATCCCAACCGCCTCCAGCACCCTGCTCAAACACACTTTCATCCAATATCATCCAATCACTAAGGGTGATCCAAATGTTCATCTCCAGCCTTTGTCCAATCTTTCACTGTTTCTGCCCAAAACTCTGCTAGCCTCAAAGCACTGCTTAAAGCCATGTCAGCACAATGCTTAGCAAAGCGTTCTCAACTAGTTGTTCCAGCCCGGTTTGAGACAAATGGAATCAATAAAAGGCCATGAGACCGTTCCACCAAGGAATGCTTTGCCCCCAGGCCAGCTACAACGCCCTGGCAAGCACAAAGGGCACGGCAAACAAATTCTCACAAACAACAATTCGGCAGGCATGGCTTGAGAAAGAACAAGGAGTTGCGCAGGTGGGAAGCCGGATATCCTTCCTCAAATGAAAGGAACGCAACGATGCCGCACAAATGAAGGCTTCCGAGGCTTGTGCGGTCTATAGCTTCTTCTGCTGCCGCCTGCAGCTCTCAGTATGCCGCATAGAAAAGAAGCCCGAATCTTCACCATCTTCGTGCCTCCAATAGATCAGAGCGCCCATCGCCAGCAACAGCAAGCACCAACCTGCTATGCGTATGCTGGGCAATTCAGCTCTGAAAGTGAAACAGCAAAGAGTCTTCAAGAGGTGGGACCTTTTCTCATCATGAGGTCATGAAAATTGAGCATGCCAATTAAATGTCTAGTTTCCATGATAAAGCTTGAACAGCAAGCTTGCCAACAAACTTGCTTGGGTCTCTTGATCACATCTGCGGCTGGCAATGTGCCCAGCTGAGGCTTCAAGGCCACTGCCTGAGGCAGCGAAGGGCTTGGCAGAGGATCAGCGAAGGCTGCGTCTTCCAAAGTGGTTTGAGACTTGAGATTGCTTGTGTTTGTCAGCTGAGTGGGCATCAGGGACTCGTGATCGAAGTTTCTCAGGCAATGGCCGCATTGGTTAACAGTTGAACCTTATCCTCTGGATTCAGAGCCTCGCCGGGTGAATGATCGAACATTGACATTGATGAAAATGGTTTATCATGGACAAGATTCCAGCGTTTCCAGCCTTCTTGGCCTTTGCCACCGCAAGAAGCAACCGAACAAGATCACTGACAGGCCAGCTTGCAGCGTTTGCTGCTACAGCCCGGGCCTGGGCAGTTATTGTGTCTGAAACAAAGCATCCTCCCATCTTCCTTTCTCTGCAGCGCAAATCCGACACCTCCAGGTCCCTCTGTGCTCATGGCCACTGCGCCCACAGCAGGCGTCAGACTTGAACTCTTTGTGGATGCTACTGCTAGATCCAGCAAGCGTGCTGGCTGCAGTTGCACACCGTTCAGCCTAAGTCTCGAGAGCTCAGAGCTCTTGATCAGCTCTTCCTTTCGAGGTGCTGAGAGCTGCACTTTGTCGATAACACTTGTGTGGCCTGCGCCTCAGTTGGGTCCACGAAACTTGAAACTTGCGCTCAAGAACTGGAAGTGGGACACCACTAAGGGAAATACCAATGTGTCAGAGCTAAATCCCCGTTCACCAACAGCTAAAACCGCTTCTGCAAGATCCTCTGCCTCACCAAAGGTGGTGCTGCCCTTGCCAAATCTCTCATAAACAGCAATTTTGTCTTCGTTGCACACATCTTGTCAAGGAACGTCATTCAGGCAATTCAGTATCAACCCGATGTTCGACTGTTTGCCACCTCTGAAAATAATTAGTGTCCATCATGCTCCGACCTTTGCCATTGAGGCCAAACTGGCAAGCCGTCCAGAAATATCCTCTAGGGCAGCTCCAGCACACGCCATAATTCGAAGAACTTCGAGCTGCTCCTTTCTTGTGACGCTTGGCTGCCGGAAAAACTGTGACAGTGATAATCATAGTAAACATTTAGTGGTTTTCATGGTGGCTTGCAGCATCTCTCATAATCTAGCAGCATCCAGGAAGGCATGACGTGATGCAGGTTCGTTTCCAAACATCTAGTTTTGGCGAAGTCCTCAGTCGTTGGCTCTGGTTGCTTTGTGTCCATCATGAGGAGAGCAGAGGTTGCGAAGGTGTTGGCCTAAGGGAACTCCAAATGATAGTGTCTGGTGGCTATCAGATACGGCAAACGGTAAACGTGGCCGTTCTTCAAAGCCAAGTGGCCACCTCAGTACAGCTGGAGGACCCTGCGGACTTCACGAGCTCCAATGCCTGCTCCAAGCCAACATCTGCAACAAGCGGCTGGCACCTCAGGTCTTGACAACTTTGAACGACTTGAAAGCGCTCTGACCCCACCGAATTATATAGCCTTTGTAATCTTTTTCGAGGGCACGTTGACGCCAATTTCGCATCAACTTCGTCCACACTGGGAAGGCGAAGAACACGACCTAGCAAGGGCACCTCATACGGGCACAACTGGCAAATACAGCACATAGCGACATAGTGTTCCACACATTCATGAACCGTTTGGAACCATTGCTTCGCAATTCAAGGACCTTAGCCCCACACATCTTCCACCTTTGATTTATCATCTGCTAGCTGCCGGAAAACAACATCGGCAACTGCTTGTTGCGCTACCTGCGGGTGTGGAGGCGCTTGTCTCACCCCTCTGAGAAAAGCCATCCGCCTGACGAGTGTGGACGAGGTCGCTCGCCGCACCTCAAACACGAATCAAAACGAGTCAAAAAAACAAGGAAGAAAGAACATGAAAAAAGAAAGAGGTGTTTGGGACTGCTTGGGCCTCTTTCATATTCTTTCATAAGGCATCCTTTCGAGGAGCGCACTAAGGCCTTCTTCTGCCCTTTTGGCCCTTTTGAGAAATGATGAGAAACTGCACAGGCAAAGGTGGCTGGGTGTTGGACTGGGACCGCCCACAGCAGCAGCAAGATCGGCCATGTCCAACAAATCGTGGAGTGGCAGGACCTGTGCAAAATAAACGAACTTAAAGCAAGTGGGCCTTCGCAACAACTTCCTGGCAAAGGATCCAGCCACTTCGCCCCCATTAGTCGCAGTTGATAAAATGCTTCGAAGGTTGGAAAGCCTCACGTGCATGATGTTCTGTCGGAATCGTAAGTACCAAATCCCTTTGTGCAGCTGTGGTGCAATTTCTTTTGAGCTGCAATTCTATTGATGGTCTTGGTCACATCCAACCTTGCACCGAAGAAGTGTCCGGTGAGTGTGTGAGTCCAAATATCGGACTTGCAGGCTGGAAATGCTGGAAAAGCATCTTAGAGGCCGTCAACCACCATGAAGAGATCACCAAGTTCCCCACCCTTCGCCATCATGAGTTGATGCAGCGAGCACCACCAATGCTCGAGCTGCAGCTGGAAGGGGAAGCTTGGTCAGTTCATCTTTGGCTCCAGCAACAACTGCTGAGACCTGTAGTCTGCACTTGTGTCGCTCGCCTAACTAGCATCTTTTGAAGAGTCTTGTCAACAACAACCAACGAAACAAAGTGATCTTCCTGAAAACGCAACCACACAACCCTCCTTGCACAGGAACCTTTGAGGGGCCTGTTGCATTTGGGTGACGCAAATAGTCAGTATGCTGTTGTGCCTGTTCTGGCTCTTTCTCTGAACACATCTTGTGTGTATTCGTCTGGTTTTTCCCTCGTGATGTCACCCGATTGCGTACTCAAACCCTCTTGACTGTAGGCATCCGGCACCATCAATGTCTTTGACACTGGCCAGCAGCTGTGCTAACTTCTCCTGCTTTGTCCGCAGCCTTAGTGACTGAGTGTAACAGAAAGACTTACTTGCACCACTTGCACTGTGTTACGTGCATTCTTTGCACAACCTTTTGTTGATGGCACCCCATCCCAAACACACATTTGCAATCGAGACACCGCACTGATTGGGTCTCTTTGTTGAACTCCCATGTCTCCCAGTGCCCTTCGAAGTAGATGATGAAGTCCTCATTGTCCCACACCTCAGAGTTGCTTACCATCATGTGTCCGATTCTGAAATTCATGGGGCCGGACTGGCTTCTGAAGGATGTTGGAGAAGTACAGCACGATGTTTGGATCTTTTCGCAGCTGTTCAAGTTTCACCCAGCCCTGGTAAGCTGCAACCGCAGGTTGTAGCACCTCACAGGGCCATGGAATCACTGGGTCAGGCCGCTGTATGCTATGCGATGCTACATGATATCATGCCTAGCACTAAGCGTTCCAAGTTTCGCCTCTTCCATCTCGATGAACTTGAACATGACACCGAAATCAACCAAGGTAAAATCAGCAATGCCCCGGTCATCTTCCTGGCACACCAGTCTGAGAGGCTGAGGTTTCTTTCCGAACCTACCCTGCTCTACTCTTAACCCAAACAATGAACTTACGAGAATGCCAAAGGCCTCGCCATATGGTGCCACGCGGAGATGATTCGGAGGAAAAAAGATGAGGTAGAAGCCTGCAATTTGACAAACTGTGCGCCTCTGGGCAACATGTGGCAACTGCTTTCAGTCGCCTTTTCGGTAGGCTGCTTCAAATCGAAAAGCACCCTCGTAGGCCGGGCTGGTAACTGCAATGAAATTCACCTAGCATTGTCAACGGCTTTAAAATGCATGCTGCTATTGTCATTCAGCATGTTTCAAAACCACCTTGTCAACCTTTTCTCCTTTCCGTGCATCTTCCAAGCCAACCTCTGAGTCAGTGGGGCCTCAGGCTCAACTTTGATCAGGAAAGTTGATTGGTGTGCAGAGCTAGGATGTTGGCTAGCTGGATCAATGAAGAAGGACAGATTCAACCCTCCACAAAGTCCTGCAGCCACCTAAGCCAACAACCAAACGAGCAGCTTCTGGCTTCTGTAGTCAAAATTCAATCGTACCAGCCACAATGGACCTATATGGTCCTAACATACTGTCACTATCACTGTCATTGTTGCAATGCAGCTATTTGCAGCAAGGCACCCCCATCTTTTCACCTGCAGCTCTTGACCCAAGAGCTCGAACCCTGCACATATTGTTGACTTCGGGTAGCCACCACAATGACCATTTGGTGTCCTCGAAGAAAGCCTGGCGAAACAAAATGATATGCAATTTCCGAACCATTTTTAAATTCAGCCTGCCTTGAATTCGACATCGGGGTCGTCTTTCCTGCTATGGACAAAAAGTCTTCGGCCACTGTACCGGACAAAGCGGTCCGGAAAGCCTGGCCAGATACAGTTGCCGTGCTGGTCAACGCGATGCTTTTCGACACGCTGGTCACACCTATTGGCATCATCATGAACTCCTTTGGAATGCGCATTCGCGGAGCCTTGCGCAGGGTGGGTTTCCTTCACAAAAGCCACATGTAAAAACACTCAACTAAGCCCAGCACTCCACTGGGAGGTGGTGGTCCGAATCCTTGCTTCTTTCTCTTCACCGCCCTCCTTTGGTCGTCATATGTGGAGCGCTTGGTGGGATTGCTCAAGACCTGCAACAGGAAAACACGAAACAGGCACCAAAGACTCTTACTTATGTCTGCTTCACTGTATAGATGTCACCTGGCCTCATAGGCATTGTTGATTTTTCGGATTTGGGTCTCTGCTTCATCACGATTCTCGGGATGCTTGTCGGGATGCCATTTCAGCACGAGTTTCCGGTATGCTTTCTTAATCGTCGCCTGGCAAAACCAAGGTACAACTGGCAAAATGTGAAAGTACTTACATATCGGACGTGAAAACCAGCAATGTGCACCAGTCGTATGCCACCTCATCAGCATGATCATCTTCGATGCCCAAATCTGCATAGTAATTGACGATGTCCATGACGGTACCACGGACCAACCAAAAATGCGATGCATCCCATTGCCCCTGGGATGGTCATAATCCACGCTAACGCTGGGCCAAAATGGGCAAAAAGAATACGAGGGCCAAGTTGCATCGAGTTGCACAAGTCAGCACAGCTTGAAGGGGCCGGACGTTGTATAGCTGTTTGTGTTGGTTCTTTTTCTTTGGCACCACGGCTTAAGCTTGCTTGGTGCACTGAGCACACGATCCGAATCCGTACAAAAAAGATATTGGACCAGCCAATCACAATCAAAGAGGTGATGGCCTGCTGGTCATCTGGGGAGAAACTTTGCCAGTGGTTGGCTCCCACGTTTAAAAAACATCCGCTCCACATCTCAGGCAGCATCTTCCTGCAGCCAGCGGGCCGCCTGACACTTAACGGAAGAAGCAAGCTAAAACTTGGCATACAAAAATGGCCTGCTTTGCATAGTACGTGAGAATCACCGTGGCTCCAGATCTTCTGATGGACATCAATGCCTGTGCCAAGCGAGTCTGAAATGGGGAGTCAAGGGCGCTATGCCTCACACCTCGAGGACGACTGCCTTTTCGTCCAACCACCCTGAACAAACAAATGTTAACAAAGCCACACTGCTATGCCGGGCGCCATAATGCTATGCAACGCACGTCTCAGGCCATCGCCATTTTGTGCTGCGGCCTTCAGCATGGCATATTCACCGGACACCTGGTGCACTGCAGTGGTCAAAGTTGCCGCAACAAAAATCTCGAAAACCACTACCAACTTCTGCAGCTACCATCAACTGTCTAAATGTGACATGTGTATATGTATACCTGTATGTGCTTTCATATGGAATAGTTAATGATTACGCATATAGATATGTACATATATATATATATATCCGTCTCTGTGTGTGTGTGATTGAATACACTGACACGGTCCGAAAACAAATGCATTAAATAGCTGAAGGCTGCAAGATTCACACAAATCAGGTTGACCATTGATGTACTGGGTGGTCAACCATTACATGTGCGGAAAATATGAGCAAATTGCCTGCTGCAACCCTGGATTTAGGCTTTGTCATTGGGAGCTCGGCATGGTATGCCGCAATTGGCAGGTTGCTCTGCTCGTTCAAGCCCTTGATGATGTCAAGGTATGGCCTGAGTGATCATTTGGATTTATATGCGGAGTTGTTCGGCAAATCAAAGATGAGGTGGCCGGCATTGCAGGCTTCACCATCAGAATGTCTGCGCCCTCCTCTTCATCGAGTGCTGCCTGCTAACATTGCTTCTTGTTTCATGACAGCCGATGAGGCTCTCACTTCATGTCCTGTCCGCTCACTTGCCTCCAGCAAGGCCTCCTTGTAATTGGCCTTGCGCGCCGTGGTAGAAACAGGGTGGTAAAATTAGCCTGTGTCCTAGCATAAATAAATAGATCGGATGGGGTGGGACAGGATAGGATAGGAAAATAGATTAAGATAGATTAAATTAGGTAGATTAACTAGATATATAGATAGATTGGATAGATAGATTGAATAGATTATTGATAGATAGGATAGGAGAGATAGATACATAGACAAGGTTTAGATAGATAAAATTACATAATTAAGAGAATAGATAGATACGATAATGATAAGATAAGATCAGATAAAAAAGAAAACAATATAACAAGAGAAGGAACAATAATGAAAAAGAAATAAAGATCGATCGATGGATCGATAAATGGATAGGATAAGATAAGATGAGGAATAAAATAGAATCAAATAGATAGATAAATAAATAGATGGGTAGGTAGATAGATAGAGGAAAAGAGAGATAGAGATGGGTATATATATACAGTATATATGTATATTGATGTATAGATATAGTATGAGGCAGCTGCGTTAGCGGCATTCGTGCTACTAACTAGTCCTTCCAGACAAGTGGCCGGGTCTTGCTGATAAGTCTCTTTCCCTTTTGGCACCTGTGCTGGTCAACCAACGCTGCATTTCCATGCAAAAGGCAGGCTGGAGGTGGCTGCAGGTGGGGCATGTTCTGTCTCTCCCACCTTCCAGTCGTCCGCAATGACTGGGTTTGAGTCCAGCGCTTCTCTGAATGGCCTTGGAACAATCATGTGCACATGTTTGCTCAAGTCAAGCCAAAGAACGCACTGGCAACGAAAGGCTCACAAATGGGACTCTTGCCCATAGAAAGCGGAGGCATATTTGGCGCTGTATGCCTGGAGCAGTTGATGCAAGGCGCTTCAAAGTTTATGTGAAGTCCAAGGTCCGAGCCATGATGCCCACATTTGTAAAGCCAGCTTCATCGAGTGCATCACGGATGGCTCCTGACCAACAATTGAGGATTCAAACAGCTCTGCAATTCATCTTCTTTGTCTTGAACGTTTGAGTTTCAACTTGAGTTCAAAATCTTCAGCATGCTCACAGTTTGTCAATAGTGTATCCGCTGCGCCTACCCGGCCATCCATCATGTCACTGGGGCCTCGCAGGAAGATTCCAATCAAGCAAGCAGTTTGATGTTGGTCTTAGGCGATCTGCTGACATAGTCTGCGCCCGCTTCTGCTTGGGACCTTTGGAGCAAATTGAGGTGAAGCAACCACAAATCATGGCGACGCATATTGTTGCTTCGCAGTGGCACAGCAAGGCTAGGTTTCTAACACGGCCTGCTTGCAAAGGTAGGCAATCCTTGGCCAACTCCCGCAATTCATCAAGCCAAAGAAGGTGTTACGTGTGCACATGCGTGCACTGTGCACCATGTCCAGCCCGAGCATCGTCTCATCATTCAAAATGACACCATCAGAACGCACAATTCCATCATGACCTGTTGCCAAAAGCATCCGAAAGCACAAAAGGGTTTCAACTAATGAATTAGGGTTTCAATATGTTTCAGCTTGATGTGGCCACAAAAGGCCAAAGTTTAGGGTTGTTGAGTCGTCGTACTGAATCGAAGCAAGCCTGCCTCCTAGATTATGCTGAAACCGAGCCTAAGGCCTAAGGAATTGTATGGGTCCAAGGCAACGTCCGTGTAAACAACCTGGCAGCAAGGCAATTCCAAAGCTCCAATTTAGAGGCACTCAACCTCAACCTTATGTTGTCTTTTTGGAGGCATTCGGATTCATTGCTCCAAAGCGACCTGTTTTTCTCGCACTTTGTCAGTCAGCAAGCGCTTGTTGCCGCAATTCTGGTTCAGCTTGGCTGAAGCGGCAGCATTCATTAACAATGGCAACTTCACCAGCAGCAGTTTGACTGCGCTTGGCCGCTTGGCCATAGACAATGTGAAGGGTCTCCTCCGACAAGTTGAATGCCTCAAACGCTCTGAAAGCTCTGCGCTCGATTGGAAAAGAGTGTGAAAGAGTGCTCGCACTCCTCTACAGTAAGTTACTCATCCATGAAGGTGCGGCAACGGGCACTTCAAGTAACGGGGGGAGAACTTGACTGGATTGGCACACACCCCAATACTCGTACTGAACTTATACAATCATCATGATTGCCTCTGGTTGCGGTGTAGCCATGTCCAACGTTCATTCAACATAATATGTACATCTTTATGTATATGTAAGATGCACATTGTACATGCACAATCATGCACATATACGCAAACAAAGAATATATCCACGCTTGGCTAACGAGGACATGACGAAATGAAGACATGAGACACCTATCTGCCGGCTGCGCTTCCGCACCTCCTTCGCTGCTCTGCCAGTCAGGCCTTGGATCCAAAGTTAGCCCAAGTCGAGATATTTATACCGCCGGACTGAAAGTTAGAATGCCGTACCGGCTCCAGGGTGGAGGCTTAGAATGCGTGTCTCATTTTCCTACACTTAGAATGCCTGCACGGCCCCACAAATAGTAAAGATTTAGGGCGGCATTCTGACTGTCAGTCCGGCTAGAGTGTTTTGCATCAAATGAGCTCTATACAGTGATTGAATCATGTAAACACTATGTGTATGTATATATATATGTCTCAAGTATATATAGATCTTCAATGGGAGATGAGTTCAATCATGGTGGAGATGGTGGATTCAAAGGAGCTGGAAGAGGCGGCGGATCTGGATTTGACATGGTCTTTTTCAAGACGGCATGCAACGTTTGCTGCATGGCGCCAGCTCAAATACCTAAATTTCCTTTTTTGAGCCAAGGCACTAGGCAAAACACTTCAACAAATCATATATATTATATACAAATTAGCCCAGGTACGTCTCAATATTTGTTTAAGACACGTCTCAGGTACGCCTCAATGTGCTGGGAGGCATTCTAAGTGGTAGCCGAAACCTAGACTCCCCACCCGGTGATAGGCATTCTAACTTTCAGTCCGGCGGTATAATCCATTTGCATGTTTGGGGGGGATAGGCCGCAAGTAGAGGTAGGTAGGTTAACGCTTATGATTTGGTTCCAATATGTTTTTGGAAACTTGACATTAGAACACTGCTGGTTCCATCAATGCAAGTTAGCTTGGCTCTCACTGCTGAGGAGAAACCCGCATCACCAAGCCATTCACCTTGGCAAAAGAAACCGGAGCCGATACACTCACGAGGAACACCCTTACCTTAACCTTGCATGTTCCATCATGTTCCCTCCAATACTGAGCAGTGCCACCGTGATCGTGGTGCCTTGCTTTGCCTTGCCTGTCGAGCTAAAAGCTGGCAAGTCAAAACTGCCCCTCTTCTTGCAGACAGCAACTTGTCAACATATGCCATGCACATCTGTCAACATTCTACCCCAAGCAAGGAACCCAAGACCCTCATCTGCCTTTCTTCTTAGCTGAAGCAGCCTCAAAACAAAAAGAGTGTTCAATCGCAACTCCTTAGGGCCTCGGCAACTGCAAATCCAACACCCTCCACCAAATCAGGAGGCCTCCTTGGAAGGTGTCTTCTTTTTCTTCTTCTTTGTCTCTTTCGGCTCTCCTTAGAAACAAACAAGATCAACAAACAGCCTTCTGAGATAGTGTCTGACACACATTTATGGAAAACAAATGGGGCTTGAACCTAGTTCAATTCCACATGACACAATCAGTCAACTTGTATTCGGCAAGATGGTGACCAACCAAAAGCAACCAAAAAGATTCCAAAAGTATGCAACACTAGCACTAATATGCACTAATACTAAGATGCAGCCAAGTGAACCGTGAGGAGCTTCCCCAGCATCATGGCCTGCATCTGCCTGCATATCAAGAAGCAAAACATCCCAGTCCCAAACGTTGCTTTTATGGCTTGAGACAAGGCCCGACCCAACGACTTTGCCAAGTCAGTGACTTGATGCTCTTCAGCCTTGGCTTCTGGATGCACCTGTGGAGAGTCTACTGCCTCGCTAGCTTCCACGTCCTCATATCAATCAAGCTGGTGCAACTGGCAGAACGAAGCTTGGAGAGGTGCTCTGGCAGCATTTTGACCACTTAAGTTTCCTCATCCAAGGTTCCGAGACAGGTTCTTCAAGTTCATCTTCCGCATCTGTCACTTCCTCCTCTGCTTGTGCCGGTGGCGCTTCGAGAGGCTCATTTGACTCCACCTCACAGATGCAGCAAATATCAGTTACCGGTGATGATAAAGGGAACCGTGCAGGTATGGTATTTATTCATACACTGGGCTGGTTATGAACCCACAAATCCACCTTGGCTGTTGGATTGCTTTCCTCTTGCGTTTCCTGATCTTGCGGCGGATCTGCTTTGAGAGGAGCTTCAGCTATGTTGTCATCGGCTTCCTGGAGGTGTCAGTAGTCTATGGCACAGCCACAGCTCAACAAAAACACACACACACCTCAAATTCAACCCTTAGGATCCCTTATATACATTTATATACAACATGTTAAGGGGGTCGCTTAGCCGTTAACAATGTTAACCTTGTTCAGTCGCCTCTCTCGTCGTCATTTCTAAAACTTGGTCTTCTTGCTCAGATGGTGCATGTAGCTCCACGGCTTCTGGAACGGGCTCAACTGCCTCGGTTTCCTTTGGCTCAAGTGCTGTCTTGTTGCGGATGGTCTTTGGCTCGATGCCACGTTTCTTGACCAGTTTATTTCGCTTATCCTTGCGGTGGCGAGCATGAAGTGCCTGGGTCACATGTTTCTTCCAGCGCTTCAGACCAATCCGCATCCGTGCAAGTGCCCAAATCCATTGAATCTTCTTTGCACTTGGCCCCAGTCCCTCAGCTGCGGCCTCACACAAACATAATGTCCCGATATCGCCAACAAAGCAAACACAAACACGAGAAAACCAACTGTCTGCCCGCCTCCGGTCCGGCAGCATTCGCATCAGCATTGGCATCTTCGTTACTAGGTTCTGCTACAAGCAGCTGTCCGCCTTCCCCTTGCTGAAGTTCTGCATCTCGTTTTGGTAAGCTGTCCTGAAGATGGTTTCCATTCTCAATAGCCAGCCCCTGGTCGGCAGACTTGGCTCCGTCTTCCTCTTCTTTCATGCCATCTGCGATGTCGTTCGACTTCAGGCCGTTCATTGACGGGATTGCTGCGACCCCACCACCCATGGCATCCAGTTGGGAATTTGCTGCCTCACCACTGGGACCCAAAATGCTTCCATCCTGTCCATGTAAAGCTCCATTGGCGTCTCCCACGACATGACCATTGGGGATGTCATTCGACTTCAGGCCGTTCATTGACAGGATTGCTGCCCCTGCAGCCCCACCACCTGTGGCATCCAGTTGGGAATTTGTTGCTGCAGCATTGGGCACCAAAATACCTCCATTCTGTCCATGTATAGCTCCATTGGCCTCTTCCACGGCATGACCATTGGGGATGTCATTCGACTTCAGGCCGTTCATTGACGGGATTGCCGCCCCTGCGAAGCCACCACCCATGGCATCCAGTTGAGCATTTGCTGCTGCACCATTAGGCGCCAAAATGCCTCCATCCTGTCCATGTAAAGCTCCCTTGGCGTCTCCTACGACATGACCATTGGGGATGTCTTTCGACTTCAGGCCGTTCATTGACGGGATTGCTGCCCGTGTGGCCGAAGCACGTCCAGCATCTAGCTGAGAAGTTGCTGCTGCTGATGCTGCTGATGCTGCTGCCGCTGCTGCTGCTGGGGCACTATTCGGTGGTAGGTTTTCCCCGTGATGTGCCGGTGAAACCTCCCAATCTGAGGCCGAATCTGGACTCGCCACATCCCCAGGCAAGACTGTGGCTTTGGTTTCTCCAGGTTGCAGCAAGCTGCTGCCTTCTGCACTGACATCCGGATTCCCAGCATGCGCATGGTCTGCAGTATCCACTTCCAGTGCGCTCTGCACACATGGGACCTGTTGCTCGCCGTTTTGTGATGCTTGTAAGTGCAAACGCATAAGTTATTTCAGCTTACAGTCAAAAAAGGTTCCTGCTAGGTCTAACAATGTTTCAGAGTGTTTGAGATCATGGCCAGGATAAGCGGGGGCTTCAAAATCTTAACTTTGACACACCCCAAACATGTGCCGTGAAACATAGTGCCGAAACGCCCTGTCCCGCCTCACCCTGGAACTTTTTCAACTGAGATGTCCACTTGGCGAGAGACTGCCATTTCTGTCCGTCAGCGGGTGGCTTCATCTGCAGCTCTGGCCGCGGCAACGAAGCTGTTTGGCGCACGCGGTCCTTTGGGGACCGCTCTTGCATCGCATGGACAGTACGCCCAAAATGGTCTACGAAGGATGTCCCGGCAAAAACCTCATGTTGGAGCAAGGCTGTGCATATCTCGCCATGGCCCCGGGCTGTAGCCACATGTAACCTCAAATGTTGCTCAAGGTCAAGGATTCGGACATATCACATATCAACAAGGACCCTGAAACCCATTTTATCATTTTCCAACGAGTCCAAGCAGTAAATGAAGAAACTGGGGGGGCTTCTCGGTTTAGTGCGTCATGCTGGGCGCACTACTTGCAACATATGAATATGAAAAGTTTGGCCCTGTCAATGGAAAAGCTAGAGACGCAGTCATACCATCCTTGTCTCGAGCAGATGCACCCTTGAACCGAGGGCTATTGATAATTGCAATGCAAAGCTCATTCCTGCCATGAGCAGCACCTGCATGTAGCGCTGTCCATCCGTTCCAGTCTTGCATATTGTGAGCTGTGAAACGCCAGTGGTCAAGAAGAACATGGCAAGCACTCAGGTGCCCTTTGCAAGCCGCATAGTGTAGGGCTGTACAGCCTTGGCAGTCTTGATTGTTGATGGCGGTAAACGTTGGAAGCTCAAGCAGTTCGAGGCAAACTTCTGCATAGCCCACCGATGCAGCATAGTGCAGTGCAGATGCTCCATCAGCGGTCCGGGCATTCACCTCCCCATCGCTCGCACGTTGTACAGCCTCTAGGGAGGATGCTTCCCCAGACTTCAAGATTGCACGGAACAACATGCAGCAGCATATGGGCGTCCATCGAAGCCGCTAGTCACAAAAAGGACGTCGTCATCTGGGAAGCTATGGCTTTTGACAGAGGCCGATAATGGTTCAGTCTCGGGTTCTTGCTAGGTATAGATGGCACAACTCAAAATTGAAAACCCTTGCAGATTTGCAAATGGCGGACTAGCGTGCTATATTTAAACCAGAAGGCTGCAACCAGTGCGGCGGTAGTACATGCAAATAGGCGAAACAAATCACATTCCTGGCAAAGTCCCAAGGTTCGGCAGAGTGACCACTTCAGGGAAAGCCTCAAAACGTAAGAACTCGAACGCAAGAAACTCCATTACACAAAACCCAGCTTCTCCCATCAATAGTTGCTTCAGGGTTCTTGACATCCCAGCCTTCTTGACGTTCGAAATGGCGCGCTGTGCAAGGCCTTCTGGATTGAAGCATTCCTGCCATAGGCGGGATACTTGAATCATGGCCAATTGTAATAAACGCTTCGTTACACCTTGATGCTAGCAGTACTTGGAAAGCCGTCTCATACTTCTCACCGCTGTCGTCCACAACTTGTCAGAGCTAGTCTCCCCAGTCTCCCTATCTCCTCTGCTGTTTGGGTTTTCAACTCGTCGGGCGTCTTTGGGAAAAGCACCACAGACTTGACGCCAAGCTTGACCGCCTCGGAGTGTAGTGAAGGCAGTGAAGGATAAGTCCGAGACTTGAGGCGAGTGTGCTGGTGCGTTGTCATCGGTCTCAATGCTTCTAGCTTGGAGGCCATCGCTCTTAAGTTGGAGGGCATTGCTATTAGGTTGGAGGCCATCGCCAGTGTTTGGAGGCTCCTTGCCTCTTCGACTTCTCGGAGGAGCCCCGTATCCACCTCAAGCGTCACCCCCGGCAGCTACATTGGACATGCATTTCACATCACTTCCATCACAGGAGGAGCCCCTAGTAGCTTCTTGTTCCTAGTAGTATGGCCAGGAGCCCCTAGTAGCGTCCTTGCTCCTAGTAGCGATGCCAGGAGCCCCTAGTACCGTCCTTGCTCCTAGTAGTATGGCCAGGAATGCTGAGCGTTCCCATTTTCCTGGGCCCTAAGCTCCGACTCGAGAAACTCCAGGCATTGAGCTGATGGGGATGTCATCCGTGCCCTGGCTTTGGGGATGAACAAGGATTGGGTGTCGATCCTTTCGGACTCATCACCCTTCCTCGTGCACAAAAATGGGCAGAATGAAGTTGGCTGGCGTCAGCCTCAGTGTCAAAAAGCCACGGGTGTTTGTGATATATTACAGTACTAAAACTTATTATAGTTACTGTAGTTATATAAAACATGTTGGAACATACTCCATTCATCTCCATTCTTGAGGTGCAAAGTCTCTCCGCTCTGGGATGCTCTGAGTGCATCACCTGGTTTCGGAAAACATATTCCGCTGCGCTGCTGATCGTCGATTTCGGCGAGGCCTGTCATTTAGGCGGGCAATTTCGCTGTGATCAAAACAAAGTTTGATCAAAGAATTTGGCCAATTTCCTGCCTCTTGCGGATGCTCATGGGATGTGGCTCAGGGGTCCCATCAGGGATTCGAGTGCCGGGCGGATGCTGAGTGCCCTGGAACAGTGCTTAGCATTACTGCCAGGCTACCAGCATCCAAAAAGTGGTCTCTGCGTGTTTTGTCCCCAAGCCTTCGTGGGAGGCTCCACGGTGACGGGCTGTGCTGGGGGCTCATTGGCAAAGAAATTCCGGGAAGTCTGGCACCGGCAGTGGTGGCAGTGGTAATTCGTGTGCAATGGATAAACAATAATTAGATGGATGGATGGATAGATAGATATGCCCTGTCAGCAGGACCATTCCGTATTGTTGCAGCCCGCCTTTGTCTGCGATCCACGTCGAGCAGCCAGGGAGACACTTGTTGCAACTCCAGCCAGAGTTGCAAATGCACTGGCCTTCATTCCCATGCCACCCTTCAGCCTCAGTACAGTTTTTCAGCTTGGTTTGCGAGAGAACCCATGCTGCACAATCATACACTACAAACTGAGGATCCATCAAGGTTTCTTGTTGGGGATGCACAGGCTGACTTGACGCAATATCGGCCAACCTGCGTGCAGTGTGTGAAATACACAAGGTGCAAAAGGTCAACCAGTTGAGGTGACAAGTCGATACAACTTTGCACTATTTGGCCTTCTGACACTTGATGCTTGAGTCGTTGGGAGGGTGAACCCAACGGCTGCCATGCAGCTCCCAGCACCTGCAGTCGAAAATTAGTGTGCTGCAGCTGCTCTCTTGTTCTCCCAAAAACTGCCACGCCTGCTACCAGTGCCAAACGCTGGCGCTGACGCTCGGGCATTTGAGCGAGGCCTTGTCACACCTCCCAAGTCAGGTCAGTCCCAAAACTGATTTCACAGTCTATACTTCCTTTCTTCTTTCCAGTCTTATCGATCCAAGTCCTTCAACGCTTGGCCGCAAGGTCCTAGTCTTATAATCTTGTCTTATCTGATCTGGCAAACACTACAACGCTTTTGGACCTGCCTTTTAACAGCGCGGGTTGGGCTATGTAAACTCTGAAAGCTTCTTGGGCAAAAGGCAGCATGAGGCATGAGCAACAGGTTTGAAAGGAAAATGCGGCTCAAGTTATTGCAAGCCGATCTGTAGAATTACCAGTCACAAAGATCCTGACCTTCACGGCACTGACTATGCATTTTTTGCAGTTCGGAAGCTGAGGAACTAACCCAACAAAGAAAGCCTGCAGCCTAGCTACAACTCACGAGACGCTTCCAGTCATTGCACGCTTTTTGCGTGAAACCTGCTTCTTCAGCTTAATGCCTTTCCAATACGTCCACAGGACCTTGCAAACATAGTGCGCATCGGTTGGTCGACAACCCTGCACTTGTTTTTTGCGTATGTTTTCTTCTTCCTTCTTTGCTTTGTTCTTAGTTTCCCTCTCTTACCCTCCCCTTCTTTCTTCATCTCCTTGAAATGTTGGCATGATGGCATGGAAGTGCAATTAAATAAAGTGTTACTTGAGAGGAGAGAGACACGAAAGGTAGGTCAGCGGGAAGAGAAGAGAACGCGAGAGGCAGGAACAAACATGCAATGTTCGACATGGTGATTTATCCCCTCGGAGGCGACCTTTCGTAAATATAATTTCATACGCACTCTAAATGTTCAAACATATGCTCTCGAAATGCTCAAAAAGATTCTTAGGAAAACTAGACGACGAGTGGCCCGAAAGCATTTTTCATCACGCAGGAAGTCAGAGTGTGAGTTATCTGTTAAGTGTTCAGTGTGAAGTGTTAAGTCGAGTGAGTTGAGGCAGTGTGTGGGTCTCTGTATGTGTGTATCTGTGTCTGTGTGTGTATGAGTCTCTGTCTGTGTGTGTGTGTCTCCGAGTCAGTTGAGGCAGTGCGTGGGTCTCTGTGTGTGATGTGTGTGTGTATGAGTCCCTGTCTGTGTGTGTGTCTATGTCTGCTGCTGGTGAAGGTCTTCACTGTAGATATAGTGAACGATATTTACGAGAAGCTTATGGGGTGTGTTGAAGCTTCTTGCAAGTACATTCTTCATTGCTGTTGACTTGCTTTATGTTCCTGGCTACGATCTGGTGCTAGCTGGCCCAAGTCTATGGAGACTTGTGCAATCTCACTTTGAGCACCAAAAGGTAAGCTATGCAAAATGCACAAATGCATGGCAACCACACCGCTCTCCAGGTAACGTTTTCTTCACTTGAGATGTAGTTCACCAACCACTATACTGGTCATTTTCTCATCGACTGTCCCAAAAAACAAAAACGTGCCCAAGTTGCTTCAGGTGACACGCAGCAGCCATTGCCTATATCTTCGCGTGCTCTCTCTGCTCAGCTCGCGGCTAGCCTGTGTATAAGGAAAAGATTCCCCGAAAATATGTCTAGCAACGTCCTTGTTGTCCTTCCGCCGAACGACGTCCGGCTTGAACGACTCGGTGTCACTCCAGGTCTAATGTGAGTTTTGTGTTAAGTGTGACGTGTTCAGTCTAGTGTGTCGAGTCCGTGTGTGGGTCTCTGTGTGTGTCTATGTGTGTATCTGCGTCTGTGTCTCTGCACAGGTGAGGGGCTGTAGACGTCCCGTGCACGTTTTCCATACTCACACTTGCATACTCATTAGGACATCTCCCGTGCAAGTTTTACTTTTGCACTTGGATACTTGCCGTTGGATGCTTTCACTCTTCGACTGACACTGGGATACGTATTGAAGTGTCAGTGTTCAAGTGTAAGTGTGGAAGCGTAAGTGTCCAACTGTACGTGTAGAAATGTCAGTGTTCAAGTGCAAGTGTGGAAGTGTCAGTGTGTAAGTGTAAGTGGTTGGTTTCCAAAATGTCTTTTCCCAAAATGGTGCACTCATCGCAATTCCATGGGGGCCCGCTTCTAAGTCTCCTTTAAACTCCAACCACACTCAAACTACAGGGATGTTAAGCATGAAGGCATGTCAACTGCAAAAACTGTGAGAGGTGTCTAGCGCGGACCTTTTCAGGGGCCTGTTGAGCTGCTGGAGCATGCTGGAGCTGTTGTTGCTGCTACTGCTGCTGCTGGTCTTGCCCATTTTTGTTCTCAGAAAACTTCAGGACGACATAGGAAGGATGCAAAAGCTGACTCAAAAGATTTGGATCTTGGATGGGCAAATGGTCAAGAAATGGACCGTCGTCTAGCGCGGTGCTAGCGCAGATCTAGCACCAGCCTAGCGCAAAAATCTCCGTCGATTTCTTGATCCTGTCCGAGTCTTACTTTTCCTGCTTGCTTGTCTTCTTCTTCTTCTTCTTCTTGGTTGTGCATTCTTCTTCTTCTTCTGCTTTGTTTTTATTTGTCTTGTCTTGCTTCTTCTTTTTGCTGCTCTCTGCTTGTTTCTTTTCCTGCTTGCTCATCCTGTTATGAAGAAATCTAGCGCCAACCTAGCGCCAATCTAGCGCTGCCTTGCTGTATCACCATAGTCTGCTGGGGGCCCGCTTCTAAACGAAAACTTAAAAACACATCTCCAACCTTAAAAGTTTACGTTTATCTATATTTTTTGAGTAGGGCTTTTTGAGCGCAGTCCAAGTGTAGAAGTGTCAGTGTTCAAGAGATTTTCCGGAAGAACCCTTCGCAATGCTTTCGGGAACAAACTTGCCCCATGGCTCAGATCATTGGTGAGCATTGAATCGGAGCATCATAGGATTTGAACTATCCTGAAACCATAAGAGGCTCACGAAGACGTTCCCCAGGAGAGAATTGACGTGCTTCACAAAACAAACTCTAGGTATGTAGGAACACCTTTCGTGATTAGAATTTCATGTGCACTCTTTCTGAATGTTCAAGAGGGTTTCAACTATCCTGAAATCATGAGAGGCTCACGAAGACGTTCTCCAGGAGAGAATTGAATTTAGAGGGGGGGGAGGGGGTGAAAGAGTGACTAGGGCGTACACGGTAGAGGTGCAGACCGCTAGTGTCTTTTATGCGCAGAGTTCTATCCTCTTGAGCCTTGAAGCAGTCAAGTATGGACACACTATATAGGCCATTGGAGTGGAACCCTGTACAGGTAGGCTCTACTTTTCAGCAGGCACAAGATTCATGTCCACTCCTAGCCTATTGCGTATGTCGCACACTCTTTTTCTACCGCAAGGCTAAAACAGTCCAGCTAGCTCTATTAAGCTTAAAAGAAAACTACGGTGCCATGTACTTACCTAATCTAGTGTGTTTCACACTATAGAGAAGGTAATCTCAAAGCTACTAAATACAGTGAGGGAGCAATAGCTGACTCACCTCAAGTACAAATTCAAAAAGAAAATGTACCTCGGCTGGAGACTGTATTGTTCACAGGCGGAGATACCATGTACCGGCGCTCACTAGCTCTTAATAGCCTGAGCTAAATTAAACTGAAAAGGGAAAGCGGCTTCTTTTCTACAGAGACCTATAAAAGAATTAGACGACACTCGCATAACAAAGAAACAAAAATTCAAGACCGCACAATGCAATTAATTAAAAATGCCTTGCAAAATGCAAGGAGCATACGGTCCGAGGAATATTCTTCTCGTAAGGTGGTCTCGGCCGCTTTCATATACAGACAAAAATAAAACTGCAACAAAAGGACTCTCTCACATTGACATCAAAAACACAAGGAAGGAGACACCAGCAAATGTATGTACAAAAAAATCTTGCACTACAATTGCAAATCATGAAATGACTTAATCATCAACCATGAATGGTTGTC